CCCCCCCCGGGGGGATGTATTTACGCTTTTGCAGCGGTTAAAATAGAAGAAATTACATTTAGAAATTACACTTTTGTCCTGATAAGCGCCTGTGCTTTTTAGCGGAAAAATCCCATCCTAAGTAATGCTATGAGGTTAACTGCAAGATACTGGGTACCGTATTTGTTACTATTTGCCACTATTTGCCACTATTCGCCACTATTCGTCACTATTCATCACTATTCAAGACTGTTCGTCTCTATTCGCACCATTTGCTATTCGCTATTCGTGACTATTTGTTGTTTGCTATTTGCAACTATTCACTGTTCGCTATTCGGGTTTTCCAGACAACCCCTAGGGAGGAGGGGAGTTGTCAAAAGCAGGGGGAAGGGAAGGGTGTCCTTTACTAACATCTTCACTTAGCTAGACTTTTCAGTGCCAAATTAAATAACCCTGATATTAACTGTGTTGCTGGGCACTTTGTTCAGTTATTGAACATTGTTTGAGGGTTTTGTGGATAGGCCCATGCCAAGCTGGATAGGCCCATGCCATGTGCATACGTGATGGCCAATCTCCTAGCCAGGGGGCGGGGGTGGTGGTCAGAACACCGGGACTATCTTTGAGCTGTCTGTGAGCATGTTTTTGCAAATACGGCTAGATACAAAAGCAGGCTGTTTATTAAAACTGTATGATATTTAAGTTTCTATTTTACAAAATTTGTAATTTTAATCACAAATATGCAAATTTATTATGAATTTTCTCAGTAACAGGCTTTAAAAGCATATATAGTCTATAGAAACCAGAAATGCTTGAAACATAAATAGATCCCGTTCAAACGCCAAAATATACATAACTTAAGGTTGATCGTGAGTGCTAATGTTTCTGACAATTCAAGCAGGATAACTAATAACTGCAATTAATATATTACTGGTATTGAGACCTATCTGAAGAAATAAAATACTCATGTCTTTTAACTTAACTGTCACCAAACAGCTTGTTCAAACTGTAATAAATAAGGAATATTACTGTACAAACTTCAGTCCAAAACAAATGTTATCATTCTATAGATTTGTTACATGTAAAACCGGTTATCGACACAGTTCCAATTGCCCAGCAACTGTTTTCCGTTTGGGTTTTCAAAACAAATTACAAAATGAAATGACAAGCAGAGTGTCAGTAATGTCTATAAAGAACATGTAAAAAACAAATTGAAATTTAGCTTCATTGAGAATTAAATCCTCAAGTTTCCGAAAATCAAAAAAATTATGAAAAATAGCAGCTTATATATATACTGAACACTGTCTTACAAAGAAGTCTTGAAATTGAACCATATCTTGGATAGCCACAACATATGAGGCTAATTAAAGCCTCTGCATAGTTAAATATCTATGTTCTCTGCATTATTAACAGTGTCATTGTTCTGGCAGACAATTATCTTGATGCTTCTTTTTAGTTTGTGCCGGTAAAAAACCCATGTAAATACCACTACTAGTACCAGTGCGACTGAACCCACAGTAATACCAATGATCATTCCCAGGTTATTTTTGTGATCAGCTGTAAGACAGTCATAATACTATCATTAGTTAATTAACTTTACAAAATTGCAGTTGATGTTCATTGCAAACTACTTTGCACCTATGACTTGATAGTTTCTTATCTGAGCCGTTTTCTTTCAATCGTGTGATCTTGGTTGTAACACTGAGATTTTGTCCCTTCCATTTCTCTTGAATTACTCATGTTTACAAAGCCTGCATAATAATTGAGCTAACTGGCCCATTGCACCAGTTCTTATCCCCAGTCTCTTCAGCATGAAGTCACTGAGAGTATTTCTTCTAGTTCCGGGGCCCTGGACAGGATGCTTAAATCCATCCCTGGGTTACCCCCCAATATTAAATTTGCCAGCACCCATTTATACACCTGGGTGGAGGGAGGCACTGTGAGAGTAAGGTGTCTTGTCCAAGAACATAACACTGTCCCCACCTCTGAACCTGGCTGCTCAACCTGGAGTAGAGTGCACTAACCATGAGGCCACTCAGTGCCTCTTCTCTTGAACTTAATTGTGCTGTTCTCCTTTATTCGTAGATGCCCGAAGCACAAGGCACTTCCAATGTCATTATAAGACTGATTGGGACAAATTAAACACAGTAAAAGATTGACTGTATTTAATTAAAGCAACATAATGTGACCAGTTATCCCTACAACTCTCTCTTAGCTAGAATTGAAGACATCTACTAGTTACTGTGAGTATGAGCTTACCATCATGAAGAGTATTTCGAGGCTTAATTGATGGAGATGGTGTTGGCAAAGTAGAATTAAGTGGTAGCTTGTCTGTAACTGTGGTGCCAGCTGAAATCGATAAGGTTGAATCAGCATCACTTTAAAGGGATAGCAAACAGAACAGTTGACTATTCGTGTTAAAAGGCTCACACTTTTG